TCTGAAATAAATGTTTTGTTTTGTTTTTTTCTTTTTACCTTTACTTATGTGGACATGCAGATAATATTTAATATGATTTCATACAGGCTTTCTGCTCTTGTTAGAAGTCTGAAATATAAATTTAAAAGATGTAATTAGAATGCTTTGTTTTTATCAGATGAAGTTACAGCAGGATTTAGTTTTGCAGAGAGAAAATAGCAGCCTATGACAGCTGGATGATTAATGCTTCTGCTCTTAATGTAATTGATCATAGAATGACTTCTGTATTTACTTAAGTGCTAAAATGACAGGTGGTCAGTATTTAATCTGAAGGATGAGGGTGTAAATCAAAGGCAGCCACGGAGCTACAACTAAGGTTGGAAGAAGCTATAAAATGCTTGATGAGTGCGACGGACCATTAACTGCATGAAAGTGAATCAGTCATTGACTGCTGTGTAAACGCTGAAGGAGGCAGGAAAGGGCGAAAATATTCTACTTCTCTCTTCCTGCAGAATCCGCAGGGGCTGAAGCAAATATGTGGTTTATAAAATTTGAAAAATAGCTTTTTAACTTCAGCAGGAACATCTGGAAAAACACTTGAAGTAAAAGGTGTTTCCCTTTGGCTCACCACACTTCAGGCTGGAATCGGGGAGCGGTGCACAGATCTGAGTGTCCCAGTTGTCCCACTCCCACTTCACCAGGTCCCCCTCTGTACAGCTCAGCGATATCACTTCCTGTTCGCTGCGCTCTCTCCCCCACATCCGAAACAGAGAAATTTTGCCCAACACAGTGAATGGCAGGATCTGGATGTTCCCATCGACGAAGGTGTGACTTGTACCCAAGGTGAGCGATCCGTTGGGAGCCAGGCTGCAGCACGAGGCGGACGTGAGGGAAGAAGGATCCCAAATTTGAGCTATGAGAGAAGAAAATGGGGCGACGTGGCACATTGGAGGGGTCAGTTAGGCAGTGGAGTCATCTCAGATTGAATATAAAGGTGCAAAAAAACTTTGCTGGTTACAAGTCGTACAAGTGGACTTGTCATGTGTCCTTATCCTTTGCTACACTGCAGATATCGCCTGCATTCAGTTAATATTGTGTAACGATACACAAGACTACTGTCAATCCCAGATGAGAGATTGGTGCTTGAGGAGACCAATACGCATCAAATACAGTTTCTTTTTTAATGTCATAATTAAATAGTTCAGTCATGATGAACAGCTAGGTAAATCCCTCTCCAGTCATTGATTAAACCCCCTAACACTCATCTCTTTGCATCAAAACAACATATTGAACAGTTTCTGTCCAGTTTCTATTGGTTCATCTAGCATGGGAAGATCTATGAAGTCCCTGCTTCTCTCTCCAGGAACTCATCCCCACTAACTACAGCTGGAGCACACCAGCTCACCTACGACTCTGTAACTAATCTACTCTGCGCTACACAATGTGGTGCAATGTTTAAAGTGGAAAACAATGCTGAAAAAGAACAATGATACACAAAGCCCCACCCTACAAATTAACAGGACTGGTTCCTTAGGTTTGTTACGTATAAATTCCTGGAAATCTGAGCCATGTGTTTTGAAACGGTCATTGATAAACTGCAGTTTCAAGGCAAAAAAAGCCTCAGCCATCACAGTTCCTACTTGTTTGACTCATGATGTAATCCTCCAGTATCCAGAAAACACCACATAGGCATGTTAACAAGGTAAAAGAAAATGAATTTTCACCTGAGGAAGTCTTTAAAGGTCCCAAATTATGCCTCTTTTCAAAAAATGAATCACATGTCCCCACAGTGTCTTTTAGTTTTTCAGCTCAAAATATTGCAAAGATGGTTAATTTCACTGTAACAATACAACACCTGGGTTTAGAACTGTGTTAAGCTGACTGTTTTTCTCTGAAAACCAATGAGCTGTTGCCATTCCTGCCCCCTATAGCAAGAACTCGCTGCCTGCAACTGTGACTGACACACCAAACTGCTTACAGTTTTTAGTGCCTCCACAATCCCTAGCCTCATGCTACTTAAGTAAAAAATAAATTCAATATAAAGTGGAAAATTTACATATTAGTGTATTAATACCCAGGATCCCCTGAGTTCAGATATTAGAATTAATTACAGGAGAAAAATGACTGGACTGCTGGACCCCCCTTTGTTTCATCCCACTAAGGTCCGACCTGGTATGAGTCGAATACAACTTCAAACACCCACCAAAGTGGAAATTTGTCCTAAACTTACTAAACCGTGAGTACAGCACAAGAATGTCACCAGTCTGGACGCTAAAATCGGTTGTGGGACATCTTAAGGCTGCTTGAACAACTGGTCAACAGAAACACCTCATCTATGACCAGCAGTGCAGACTGACACCGAAATGATTCTCAATAGATTGACCCTAATATAGACAACAGTAGGAAAGTAGAGTTTGTTACACGTAGGTTTTTGAACACAATCAAGCCCACCTGCTCTGATGTTCACCGGGTTTCCGTTCACATAGAGGGAGGGTCTGTCTTTCCTGTGTGACCAGGTCACACACAGTGAGTACCACTGTGATGGTTGGAGACTGAGCTGAGGTGTAGTCCACTCCCGACCCAGCAGCCACACCGCAAGACTGTTGTCCGACTTTCCCCCCAAACCCAGCTCAGCATGTGGAAGCTCGGGATGCCGGTACATGAAGGCGGTCCATGGTGAGGAAACCTGCGCCTAGATGTGGTTGATGAAATATTACAGATCTGTATCATATCGTCAACCGAAAAGTCCCAATAAATTATCCAACAGTGTAGCTGGAAAAGGACGTTTCTCATCAATACCTGGAGATTCAGTTGGAGGCAGACAGTGACCTCCTGCAGGGCAGGGATGAACACCTGAGGCTTCAGTCTCCAGTGGCTGCAGCCAAAGGTGAAGTCAGCCACCTTCCCCCACAGACTGAGCCAAGACACTACAGAAACAGACAATACACAGTCAACAGGAACTTTTGTGAAGGGAACTGGAACCTTTCTAGGTTTGGGGAATTCGGTACTGTCTCAGAGTTCAGATACTTTCAGGTTCAGGGTGATTTTTGCTCTCGGTTTTCTGTAATGCCACCAAACAGAGTCAAATAGTGAATGATAAAAGCTAAGTCATTTTTTAAAATCTCATGGATTTTTTCTTGTTAGATCATGTTGCAGTTTTTCAGAAAAGAGGAGATTGAAATACTAAAAGACAATAGCTGGCAGCCAGTTAAACTGCACACAGTATCACAGCTGTCTTACCTTCTCATATTGTCTTCAGCCTTTTCATCTGTTGCTTACAGCGAGTTTACAGCCATATGGTGTTTAACTACTGTATGTGATGTTTGCTTTAGTTATTCTTGACTTTTTTATAGTCAACACAGTGATTTTCTCACACTACTGTGGGTTCCACTGTGCAAGTAGTAATCTTAAACACAATGAACATTATTTCACCTGAAAAGAGAAATGTATTTTTGGATATGATGTGATACTGTTTGCCAGTGTCAGATTTTGTCAGTTCTCTTTTTGTATTTTTCCTTTTATAACCATAAATATGAACTAACTAGAGAAAAATGAATGACGTCAAATTTTAGAATGTCTTTTCAATATGTTTTCTTCATGTTTCCATTAAATTAAATGACTATATTCTCCGCACTGATTCCTACCTGGCTCCACTGAGCTGCTCAGCAGTGACACGGTGATAAACACCATCAGGAGCTTTCGAAAGAAAACCATCACAATTCTGGAAAAAAAGATACATTTCCTTTTCAGCTCTTTTTCAGTTTAGACCAATTGTTTAAACAACAGAAACATAACAAAATTCTGTAGGCTTTTAAGAGAAACGTCACCTTAATACATGTGACAAGTAAACACAAAAGTTAAAATGCCTCAAAAACAAGCAAAGAAACTATAAGTTTAAAGATTTGTGTGTATATAAATCTATGAAGAGTTCATTTGCAAAAACAGATAACTCCATCTTCACAAACCTTCAGAAAACCCACTTCTCCATCGTCTACCTGAGACAATATCAATCAAAGTTAAGTTATCTCTATTTTTGTCATTTCTGCTGAGTCAAATCCACTCGACTTCAGTTTGATATTATCTCAGGCAAACAACAAAAAAAGTTTTCTGAAAATCTACAAAAATGGAGTTATCTGTTGTTGCAAATGAACTTTTCATTTACTTCATTTTACTAAAGCACACTTGTGTTCATGTATTAAAAAAAACTATAGAGACAATTAACACAATATTCTCATTCCATGAAGTTATTGTTTTTGAAACGAGCATTTCTAGTTTTAATCATGTCAACATGTGGTCATACTGAACTTTAACTGTCAAAGAAGAACTGATAAAGCACTTACCTTCAATAAGATAATCTGAAAAGACTCCAAAAGTAAATCCTGGTCTAGACTCTCAGCAGCAACTATTAATGCTGCAAAGAATTGGCTTCCTAGTGCTTCACTGCTTTCAACCTCTGGGATGAAGCATTTATTACTAACCCGTCTCTGTAAATAAAGGCGGTATGACTGTTTGTGAAGCGGAGACCGATGTTGTCTGACTGTGATTGGTTCTCTCGTGTTATGCGTGTGTTTGCAGGTGAGACAGAAAAGCTAAATAGAGAGGACAAGAACCGTATAGCTTATGTAAAAAGAAGTAATTGAATTCCACATAAAGGCAATAAGCTAAAAGGTAATTAGATTTGTCAAACATGTGCTGCTTTCTGTAAACACTGTCTGCACATGTGGAGCCAAACCACTGTTTTAAGATCATATACAAGACCATTCCGTCTCCTTGTGGAATTAAACTATCTGTGTAAAATGAGTAACACAAAGACAATGCCAACAATCTTTTAGAAATTTATAGTAGAACAACAATTTTATGTCAGCAGGCTTCAGAGTAGGTTTGTGCTAAACTTCCTTTTATCCAAGACAATGCATTTCAGATGCTTATTTTTTCTGTCCCCACCTGCATAAGACGTGGTAATAATGGCAGCTTTCTACATGTCAACATGGAACCTTGAAATCAATAAAAACAAATGCATTTCTCCGTTTTATAGAAAGTTTATTCCATTACAACAACACATCAAGGCATGCAGTTTGCATATATTCCAAAATTGGTATTTATTCCTCCCTTTGCTTTGGAGCAACAGCAATTAGTAAAAGTCCATACAGTTTTATTTACTTCAAACATACTGTACATCAAGCATAGCGATGAAAAGTTGCAAGGATTTTGATTATTTGGTCACAGAATGATGTTACCTTTCAAATGTAGAAAAACATCAAGTAGACGTTAAAGCCACTAACATAATTAGTTATTTTTCTGTTATAAAAAGAGGTGAAAAGTGCAATTTAAAGAATCATAATTCACGTATTTTTTTCAGATTTATATTATGTAACTGCAACGTAAAAAGCACTGATTTTTCAGCTTTTAAAAATACAAGGTAGCCTGTAGCTTGACGTTAACTCTTTAGTAAAACATGAAGGTGAAAACTCACAACAAGATGCTCTTAGTTTTACAGCAAAGTCAGCCATTTATCTCCTGCTCAAATGAGTTAAAATCACTGGGTTGCATAGTTTAACATGGACTTTGTTATCATATTTTATGTCATGTAAGTCTCCTACAGGAAACTGCCACACTCGCTGTCTTTCAAACTCCTTATTTCAAAGTTGGAGGACAAATCTTGTCTTTAGCATCACTCAGCAGTGTGCAGCACCACAGAAAGCAATCAACAGCTCTCAAAAATTATATTTTGGTCCCATCTTTACTGTCACTTAATGTTTCATCTCCCAGAATTTCAACTAGATAATAGACAGAATATTAAAATGATGACACTGGCCTTTATTTTAAAAAAAAAGCCTGGAAATTTTTTGTCATAACGGTTGTATAAATCACTCTGAAACAAAATAAAAACAAGTTGTCCATCGCTATTTGTTGCCGCAGTCAGAGCAGAGGATGTCTCTTCCCTTGGCTACGAAACGCTTGTTGGACAGACTGAGGGAGCACCTCTTACAGTTGAAGCAGTATTCGTGCCAGGAGCTACCCTCGTAGTTCACAACGTTCACTCCTTTACCAAAACCTGGGAGGACAAGAGAGAAAAGGAGAGTTAGACACTGAGTCGGTCTGTAATTGTGACCTATTTTCTGGGCTAAATCAGCAGCACAGCTTTAAAGTGACTCCAAACTCTTCAAAATGTTGTTTCTAACATTGTGTTCATATTAAAGCCTCACCACGCTGCAAACCAAAAAACAAGTCAACACTCGAGGCTGGGATCCCTTTTTATTCAGTCAAACTTGCAAAATCAGGAAATATAATGCAACCATATCCTACTGATGACATTTTTACTTAAAGTGGTTTTTAGTTACTTGAAGTATCTTGTTTTTGTTGGCAGCCGTTGTACTGTATATTAATCACACAATAAATGGCAGCTGCAGTATTTGCCACTTGCATAATATGTTGATTTTAAAATCTTGACTGAAAAATGAGGCCTTAGCAAAGTTTGCCCAGTTTATAGAAGAACTTCTTCTTGTCTTAAAGCTCCCATATTGGGCCCCTTTTCAGCTACTGATCCAAAGCCCCCTGCTTGAGTCTTAGCAGCAAAACTGAAAGTGTTGGTATCATATCATCTGACTCTGTGATGGCACAATATTCTCCTTTTGTTGACAATATCCAGTGTTCATTTAAGCCAACCTGTGATGGGATGTTGGCAGCCGCTGCATTTCTTAGCCACAGAGTTCTTGTAGCAGTCGACACAGAAGACCTGGTCCTGGTGGTTGGTGAAACTGGACCCTGCCAGAGGCTTTGAGCAGGAGCTGCACACAAAACAGTGACCGTGCCACGGCTGGTCCTGGTAGTTCACTCCTCCAGAGGTTATAGGCTGCAGACAGAAGGAAACAACAGTATTACCATCAAATTAAATCCTGTATGTGCATATTGTTTGATTGAACTTTTATTTGAGTATCTTTGAGGCACTAAATGGAACAAAGTAAAAGTAAAAGAACGAGTCTAATCACAAAGTTTGAAAGAGCAGCATGCCGATAGTGTTAGGAAATGTGATTATATTTATTGCAAGTGAAACCAGAAGTTTACATACACTGTATGAAAAGACATAGAACCTTTTTTTTTTCTCACTGTCTAACATTAAATCTGACTAAACTTTGCCTGTTTTAGGTCAGTTAGGATTACCAAAATTATTTCTATTTGCTAAACGCCAGAATAATGAGAGCAAGGATTTTTTTAGAGAATGTTTTATTACTTTCTTCAAAGTCAGAAATTTACATACATCTCCTTAGTATTTGGTAGCATTGCCTTTCAACTGTATGACTTGGGTCAAATGTTTTGGGTTTCCTTCCACAAGCTTCTCACAATAGTTTGTAAGCTGCCTTGCTCCACACACCTTGTCAGCTCTGCCCACAAATTTTCTCCAGGATTGAGATCACAGCTTTGTGATGGCCACTCCAAAACATTGACTTTGTTGTCCTGAAACCGCTTTGTAACTAATCTTGAAGTATGCTTTGGGTCATTGTCCATCTGGAAGACCCATTTGTGCCCAGGCTTTAACTTCCTGGCTGATGCTTTGAGATGTTGCTTCAATATTTCCACATAATGTTCTTTCTTCATGATACCATCTATTTTGTGAATTGCATCAGTCCCTCCTGCAGAAAAAAACCTCCACAACATGATGCTGCCACCCCCGTACTTCACCGTTGGGATGGTGTTCTCAGGCTTGCAAGCTTTCTGGGAACCTTCAGGCATCTGGAAATTGTACCCAAGGATGAGCCAGACGTGTGGATGTCCACAATTCTCTTCCTGATGTCTTGGTTGATTTCTTTAGATTTTTCCATATTGTCACAAAAGGACGCAGAGTGTTTGAGGTGTGCCTCAAAATACATCTACAGGTGTGCCTCCAATTAACTCAAACGTCAGTGAACCTATCAAAAGCTTCCACAGCCATGACATCATCATCTGGGCTTTTCTAAATAGCTTGAAGACATAGTATTCTTAGGGTATCAAAACTTCTGACTTTGAAGTAAGTGATAAAAAAATTCTCTCTCTCATTATTCTGGCGTTTAGCAAATAGAAATAATTATGGTAATCCTAACTGACCTAAAACAGGAAAAGTTTAGTCTGATTTAATGTCAGAAGAAAAAAAAAGGTTATGTGTCTTTTTATACAGTGTATGTAAACTTCTGGTTTCAACTGTATATGTGGGTTCCATGTTTGAAAGCAATTACCTTCTTGCAGCTGACGCAATGTTTGGCAAATTTCTTGTCGTAGCAGGGGCTGCAGTAAACGTCATTTCCTTTGGAGAGGAAACTCAGCGATCCTATTGGTCGTTTACAGTTAAAACAGGTGAAGCATTCGTCGTGCCATGAGTTCCCTTTGTACTCCACACTCTCTGTGCCTGCAGGAGACAAGAAAAGGATCAATAGTACTAGTTCTGACTAAAAACAACCCGTAGAGAGACATTTTTCATCCACTGATCCCAGTTTTAAGTGTTAACAATGTTTACAGACTGCAAAAGTGTTCAATTTTATTTATATAGCACAATTCACAACATATGTCATCTCATAGTGCTTAACACAGTAAGTGGTCAGCAACAGTGGGAAGGAACCAAAATAACCCGATTAGGGAGGGGGACCTCAGACAGAACCAAGCTCAGGGAAGTTGCCCATCTGCCCCAACCGGTTGGGGTGAGAGTGGGGATGGGGGAGGGGGTTGGGGTAGTAAGTTATTATGGTAATGTTAATACCATAATTGGAGACACACATTTATTTTGCTTAAAAACTAGAATTTTCTGATGAAAATGAGTTTCTTTGGTGATGAGTCTTAGGTCCTTTAATCACCAAAGTTGACCAATGGGCCACTTTTTTCCAAATCTCCTCCATCACAATGCCTCTCTGCCAACAGGACAAAAACTCGATGTGAAGGTCGTACCAGCCAGGATGGACTTGTAGCAGCCGTGGCAGCGAGGAGCGTCCTCTCTGGAGCAGCACTTCCCACACATGATGCGGTCATCCTTGGTGCTGAAGGGCTCCTTGGCCAGAGGCTTGTAGCACTTTGCACAGCGGAAACACTCCTCATGCCAGTATCGGCCCTTGTGGCTGAGCTCCTGATGGAGGACGAGACAAAGAGAGAGAGGTTTTCTTCAGTGGAAAAAAAAAGATACAATACTTTGAAAGTGAACATTGAGCTTGATAACGCACCTTAGTTTCCACAGAGATGGGTCGGTGGCACTCGGCGCAGGAGTTGGCGCAGAACTTGGTGTGGCAGCGAACGCACACCGGCCTGCCCTCACTACGAACAAACCTCTTCCCCCCGAGGTCCTCGCGGCAGTAGAAGCAGTGAGAGCTGTCTGCCATCGTCACGTCGCGCTGGACTCACACCTACAGCAAGAAGAGAGGGAATCTGAAATCCTGCTCACCATAAAGGCATCACGGTACGAATTATACAGATTTGAGATTTACTTTTAGAATTCCTGATATTAGCGAGGAAAAGACAGTTCAGTTAATAATTCATCCGAATGATTGTGAATTGGTTTTCTGTGATCACTAACTGATTAATCGATTTTTTAGGGGGGGGGGGGCGATTTTCAGCTCTGTGTGCTGCTTGAGCTGCTGGTGGAAATAAGACAAGATCACATCAGATGTTAAACAATTAACCCTCTGAACTCTAAGCAGTTTTGGGGTGTTTTTTGCTCCTGTCACATTTTTACTATATGTACGCTCATTTTTAGCTGTTAAATAAAGTCCAATACCTCTACGGAAACAGAACAACAATGGCTAGAAGGAGGGAAAACTCATGAATGTGTTTTCTACAGTGTTATAAAGTTAGAGTGCCATAAATCTTTTTTAAAAAAAAAAGAGAAACTGAAAGTTGACTTTGTTTGATTATTCATTTTACAAAAATGTAAAAAAACCTGGAATGAACATGAAAAAAATGATTATGTACCATAGATATTTTACTGATTACATTTTTATTGTTCATACTTGTGTCCAGTCCAAACACAGCCCGTATTTCAGCCAAGTTCGCCAAAAAAATTCCCAGAATTTTAGTGATGCTACTAACGGCTTCTTTTACAGCATATATTTATTTTTTGGCGAATTCTTGAATGATATATACAGAGTAAAATGATTTTAAATCAAATATCACAACATTAAACTTAGCTTTGGTTGTTTTCACTGACTGGTCCACACATCACAGATAGTTCAAGCACCGTCGTAAAGTAGAAACTGATGATTTGCGCCTTTCAAACACACCTGCAGGTTTTTGGTGTCGAGGGACTTAAGATGTAGTCATTCTGTTGGTTCACAGCTGTGTGTAAGCGTCACTGCATGGATTTAGTCATTTTGTTTTTCATTGGAGAAAACCACCTAAAACTACCACACGGGGGCGCTGTCGAATGCACGTTCTAACTGCGGAGAAACAAACAGCTGATATTTACTGAAGCAGTTTGCTGATGAGATGCCTTTCATTACTCAGGCTGACACAAGAACAGAGCCACAGAAATGTTTGTTTTGTGTAACATCGTGGCAACACAGGCGTCTTTATCTGTGTTTTTTGTGTGTCCACCTGCGTGTTTGCACTCATGTCGTGGTGCTTGTGTGCTCTGTTCCTCCTCGCTCATACGTCTTATCTCTTCCTGTAATAAAGTTTAGGGCCGACGTGAGAGGCGGACAATTGATTAATGTGTTATTTGATTTGAAGATGAAAAATATGATCATATTTTTAAACCAGATGTGTTACATACAGAGACGTGCCAAAGTAGTCATTTTTTGTGTTCACCCTTAAGTTAAATCTGAAACTGGACGGTGGGCTGTAATAACAACCAGATCTGCAGCATAGTTGGGTAACTGATTTCTGGAATCATTCCTGTCTGTGTTACAGTTTGTGCTTTTATTTCCTCTCTTCTTGACTATGTAGGACTCTTCCCCCCTGCTGGCCTCTATTCATCGGCCGCTGCTGAAGCACAGAGCTGATGTTGGCACCCGGTTACGTCTCTGAGCTCTTCAGCCCCCTTTTCCACTTCCAGACCCCTCAGACCTGCTGACCAATCACGTCTTTCCATCTCCTATGCTCTCAGGTAAAATCTAGGGATGACTGGCATTATTAGCTCTTAACTGTGGAATAGTTTACTGCTCACTATTAAACCTTCCTCCTCCACTGATATCTTTAAACTCAATCTAATGATTCATCATTAGTAGTTGCTTGTTGTATTCGTTTGCTAATATACATACATCTCATTCATTTTTGCTATAATCAGGAAACACTTTCGATAAAGAACTTTGTGTTTTTAAACGCACTCTAAGAATAAATCGACTTGACTTGATTTCTCACAGTCCAATAATCACTCTCCCTAAAATACAACGCACATAAACTTTCTAAACATAGAATGAAAATCGCCACGTTGAACCACCAAAACTGTGATGACAGAGCCGTGATTACAGGGTCAGGATTTCAGATTGTAAAGAATACGCAACAAGATGGCAAAATCACAGCTACACAAACACGCAGAAATGTAGAGGAAGACATGGATACAGTCTGCTCACTCGAGTTATTTCCCACATCAAGTTCACGCTGGCTGACCACAAGGAATTCTCACAAACTACTGTGTGTGTGTGTGTGTGTGTGTGTATGTGTGTGTGTGTGTGTGTGTCTGCACAGTGAGGTGAACACATGAAGGAATGCCTGGTATGAGTAATGTGGTGAGATCTGGACCGCTGACAACTCTTTGACAGAACCGACACACACACACTCACACTCCACTTCTTACACGAACCACTCCCTAGGAAACCACAAACTATAGCGTTCGCTTCCTGCACGGAGCTGCATGTCGGCACAGATTCGCGAGGAAGTTCTGGTTTTGGCTGAAGACGTCACCACAAGTTTGGGTTGTGTTGTTAAAATGCTCAAATTTGCCAACCTATCTCTTGAGTTTTTAGCAAAAATCAGAGATGGGTTTAGACATAAATTTTTAGATGCAAGAGGTGAGAGGTGTTGGTTTGTTAATGTTGATGACCTGTTGGAGGCTTTGAAATAGAAAATCATCATGGTGGTCTTTGACAGCGGAGAGAGGTAGCTGTGGACTGACAGCTTGATTTTTACAGCTTCAAGTTGTTGTAGTTTTAAAATTTCTCCCCACAAACTGTCTTTTTACATCAAGAAATCATACATAACAATTTGAGGTTAAAGCTAGTTTTGGTTTGTAAAGGCAGACACTTAAATTGCATTCATGAGCTTCATATTTGTCCCAGTAGCATCTCCTTTTTTGGTCTCTGACTGCTAAAGTGCTCATTATTTAACACCAGCATGTACAGTTTGTGAATGCAGCTCTCAAAATGATTTATAAACTGTGCGTAAAATTTAGACGTTTAAAGGTCCCCATTCTATTTTTCTTAGCACCAGGCAAACCTTTAAAATACATTTTAGATGCATTTAAAAATAACTGGAACATCTTTCATCACCAAACAAACAAACAAACAAACAAAAAAAAGCAACAACACTATATTCACCCTGAAAAGATGCCCCTGAAATCTTAATTCGAAGTTTTATTTTTTTCCCTTACAGCGAGTGTATTAAATTTAGGCCATTATACATAGTTCCCTATGCGATGAACTTAAAGTTATTAAAAATAAAAGAGAAATCAGGCAAAATCAGGCAGGAACAATTAAGGGGTTTAAAAATCAGTATTTTCTTTCTTTTTTTTTTTTTTAAATATGGAGGCGCTTACTTTTGCTGTAAACACTTGTTGCACTGCCACAGGATCCTACAAATATTACGTTAGTGATGCAGACAAGTCATGAATCTGTTTTTATGTTTGGTCCTGTTTTGCTGTCAAGTCTGCTTTACTCTACTTGTAGTCTCACTTTGACAGCAAATTCTGGAGAACATAATGACGCTGCTGGCATTACAGAAAACAGGACACGGATTAAAAAATCAATGATTGTATTAGAATTTATGACAGAGAATAATTAATTACATTTTCATTCCGATTTATCAAAAAACTGAAGTACACGGCACGCCATCAGTTCACTTTGTGCAGGAGAAACGTCAAATGTCTCGTTTTATGCGAGCAGACACAGAAGAAGAAAACCTGGGTTAACACAGAAAGCTGATAAACACTGTTGTGATAAATAATATCTCTGATCAAGAGGCCACGAGGAGCTGAAACTAGAGACTCCAGAGCAGGGCTTTCTGGGATACCCCCTCACTAAGGTGTTCTACAAAGACTTGTGACTGAGTGACGACATGCAGCACCTATAAAAAGTATTCACACACTTAGACTTTATATCTCATGGCCACATGTTATTATCTCATGGCCACAAGTTATTTGGTTAAATTATCTCGTTCCCACGCGTCATTAACTTGAGGTCACAAGTTATTATCTCGTTCACACACATTATTTCATTTTTTTTTTACCAATGTCACTTCCAGAGTTCAGTAAAGTTGGAAAGATATTCAAAGATTCGAACTTCCGGCATTTATAACTCTAAAGCAAATCGACATTTTAAATCAAATGGCACCTCTTTCCAAATGTTATAATACAGACGACAACCTACAACCGGCCAAAATCGTTTTTTTCCCCCCAAAATGAGACGTCCTCCGTTCTTTATGAATTACATTGATCTTTACGTGCAGCTCAGGGACCGTCAACAAATTACCACGGCGAGAGGAAATGCTTTGAAAAAAACTCAATAACGTTACATTTATCGTTTGTAGTGCCACCAAACTCACATCACACATCAATGACCTTCCTCTGGTTGTACTACAGTTACCACAGTTCCTTTTTTTCTCTACGGCCACTCAAGGGTTCTGCACTTTCACAGATTTGTATGTCGTCAGAGAGAAAACTATTTCATTCCATATTTCACATTGGCAGCACAACATATAGTAAGATAGATGTAAACAGTCCACCTGATGTGACTTTGTCACCCAGAGTCACACTGAGGTATGCGGTCGAGGTTAAAGGTGCTGCTGTTAATAAAGTTGATGAAATAACTTCTTTTGTGGTCTTGTCTCCTCGCAAACCGAGGCCATACACCATGTGGAGTGGACATACATCTTCCTTTCAGTGTCCTGCTAATTCGTCACTTATTAATGGAAAAACCGGTAGCTGGTTTATTTGTGGAGTGGGTGAGGTTACTCATCCATCTCCATTGGAAGACGGCAAGGACTGATAGTCTGTTATCTGTTATTCTCACTTCAGCGTCCTGTTGTTTTTGATGGTGTTGCTTCAAAGCTTATGAAGCCTGTAGAGTGTTTTATATTTCTGTATAATTAAGATGTAAAACATCACCTGATTTTCACACAAGTCTTCTAGTAGAAAAAGAGAACCCAAATAAACACTGAGACAAAAATATTATACTTGGCCATTTATTTAATTTTA